CAATTAAAGGAAAAAAGTTCGTTTTAACCGAAAGTTCACTATAACCGGGTTCATTATAAGCGGACTTTACTGTAGGTGTTTCCAGTTGAAAAAATGGTCGTAACTAATGCTTGCGCTACCCTGAATAAAAAACTTTGCCATCCAAAAAATGGAATTTGGCGTATAGAAGCGTTTTTCCGGAAAAAGCTGATTTTTAACATTACATAATCTGTTTGAATCCAAATATTGAGTATGCACTAAACACACTGTAATTATATTCGTAGCCTTTTTTTTTCTTAAATAGGACTTACTCGGGAACTCCACTATCAATCATCCGTTGCTTTTCCACCAGCTTGTAGTAAATTTTCGTTTGCCAACTGTTGTCGCTGGGCAAAATGATATCGAAAGACCCATTGTCCATCTCTTCGGCCCCATCTAATAAATATTGCTTCAGGAGCTGCAAAAATTTAAAAACCTTAACTTTTACTCATTTTTAACCAGCGTTTTGCTCTTATAGGTAAAGTCCTCAGTGTAACGCCCTGCTGAGACAAATACCGTAGACTTTTCGCATAATTTCCCAGATGCAGAACTATTCATTCATTTAATACCTCAAATTCCTCAAAAGTAAGTTCAAGCAACTCCTCATCAGCCTTACTTTCACTCGCTAACATGACGCACGACCGCAAAATCGCTGCTTGCCTTCTACCACAGTGACCCATACTAATAAGCTTAGGCCAATGTTGTAAAATATTAACAGCGAAACATCGATTTTCTTGTAGATAAGTTCTATATTGTTTAGGCGGATTCATGTTTTCGCGGACTTTTTGTTGGGTCGCCTCAAAAAACGTTTGTCTTTAAAAAGACAGAATTTCCTCAAGTCTTTGATTACAGACGTGAGGAAATTCTCAGGCCAAATTTTCTTTGATGCGAAATACCCAACAAACGGTCTTGTGAACATCGATTTTATTGTGGCTTTTCCATATAGGAACAAATTACTTAACTAATTAATCAGGCGAGCCCAGTTAATTTAGATGTTGTGAATAGTTACCGTTGGCCAGAGGGTTGTGAAGACATTTCCTTCGCCCAAAGCGCTCAAGTTCACCCACAGTTGATGATCGCCCGACAATGCGAAGGAACTTCTTGAGTCCGTGTACTCGATCTGATCAAGTTTTGGTTGCTCCATAATTCCAGAAATCTATTTACCCGCCTTGAAGACCCACTTTTAAGGGGCTTGTTTCCAGCTGAAATAACCAGAGAGTGTAATTTATCTAGAAGGTCTTTTGCAACCACAACCCTTTGCAATTGGCTGCGATTTTAGCCCTCCAGTTTTCCATTAACAGCCTGCATTAACAATTGCTCTGTTTAAGCGCGCTGCTTGTAACCCAAGTGGAAAAACTGGCATAGCCCCTTTGAACAACAACAATCCTAATCCGGAATCGATGATGTTATTAAAAAATAGCATTGCTTGCAAGCAATCACGCAAGGCCAATAAAAATTTATAAAATGGGCAACAAAGTCGCAATGGGTTGTAGTTCATTTCGAGCTGGAATGGCATATTCAATTTGTTTCCAACTATTAATGCACTTTCCATAAATATTCCTGCGGGATTTAAATTGCTCGGAAAGTCCATGGTTTACCTGTTTGCACCGATAGATAGCGATAATATAATATAAGTGTGGATTTAGAGTAGCAGTTTAAATATAAATAGCTTAACGGTTTTAGATTCACTGTTTCCTAATTTTATTTGTATTYSTACATTTTATAATACATTTTYCTATGTATTAGTGACGTAGATTTCGGGGACGAACGGTATTATTCCGCCTCAAACTACATTCCCAGATAGCGCAAAATATTACATAYATATTTAGGAAATATTTATATGTTTGCTAAATATTTCAGATCAAATGCAAGTATTTCTTAAATATTATTTTTTAAATATTTAATTAGCTTGAAACGAATAACTTATTAATAATYTTCTTATTACATAATACTTTTTGTACCTCTATATAACAACCTTAACACCCAAAACGTTACTAATATATTATTTTTCATAAATGTGAACAAACTTTAGAACATATTATTTGAATTTTCATTGATCAATGAATAGCAAATATTTCAGAGCAAAAGGAAATATTTTTTAAATGTTATTTAGAAAATATTTGTTTCCAA